TCTGCTGCTCCAGGTTCCGCGGGTTCTTGTTCTTGAGCTGCAGCAGGTAACCTGGGAACAAAAGGTGCTTCTTGGTCAACAACAACTTTTCCCAGGTCCGTGGCAGCCACTGCGTTCCGAGTCAACAAAGTCACGATCCTAGTTGGCTGGCAACCTATATCCACCAAAGGCTTCAGCTCCCAATTCTCACCGCTCTCAAAAATCTCAAACCTGTTCCCTCCTTTGTGCACCAGGGTGGTGCGAAGGGGTAGAACCTCAGGATCATAAAGCTGGCTGGGGTCTGCAGTCATAGTCGAGTTCCACTGCACGTGTGTGGGCGTTGATCCCGAAGTCACTTGCCAGCCTTGCCGTTTGAGTCCCGAAAGGAACTCATCGCTCACCTCGACCACCATGCGAACACAAGCTTCTTCGGTCCTCAGAATGCGCATGGTTGCCGCAACAGAGTTGCGGGCAAAGTGGAGGGGAAACTCTTGGTCGCCCTTGCACATCACCATGAAACCGTCATCTGTGGCACTAGCTTTCGGATACCAGCCACCACGAAACAACTTACCAGCGCACAACAACGGTTGCCTCACATTGGCCAGCACTGCTCGATCTCGAAACACAATCTCTCGACCATCAGACCCTTTCACTATGAACGAAACGTTGGCTCTCTGCGACATCTGCGGGATCGGCGTGCCTTGGGCATCCAAGAGCCGAGTAGTCTGCTTCTCGGCAACACCAACGGCACTGAAGAGATGCGCCGGGAGCACAGTGACATCGGCACCTGAATCCAAAATGACTTCACAGGGCTCAGAAGACTTTGTGGGGCAGCTCACCATACGAACTTCACATTCGGAACCGCTCTCTCTGAAAAACTCATCTCCACTGCTATCACGCTCAAGCTCAAAGTACAGCGTGCTGGTGGAAGGGAGCTCACACTCTAGCTCAAAGCACTCGACGCTTGCATGGTCTACCTTCTCAAACTCAACGCTAGAGTCACTGCACCAACCATCGCACGCACTGACTGCTCTGATATACTCATAAGCTTCAGCAGGAACTTCGGACTCATCCCACCAGCCGTGCTCATCCCAAGCTTCTTCACCCTCGTAAAGGTCAAACTCCGAAACCAAAGCTGTGCTATACCAAGCCCCAGTGTTGTCAGCATCGTCGTCCGGGAGCTCTTCGATCAGCGGCAGCGTGTCCAACTCCATGCGGCAAACCTTGGCTGGGGAGGCAGTTGTTGTGGAGGGTGCTGTTGAGGAGGCTGTTCGGGTAGTAGTTGCAGAGGCCCTTGTACTCACCGAAGCATTGTCATCTTCAACTTGATTTACGCGACGATCTCTGCACTCAGCTGCTCGGTGACCCATACGACCACAAGAAAAGCAAGGACCCTTGACAAAACCACCCTTCTTGCCCTGCTTGCCGCCGTCGTGTGACCACTTGCCTTTGCGACCCTTGCCCTTGTCCTGGTAACCTTTTCCAAAGCCACCCTGCGCATACCCTTTGCCAGCCTTGCCTTTGCCGTCTTGGTAGAAGCCCTTGTAGACCGAGAAACCCTTGAAACCCTTGCCACCTTTGTCACCTTTCCCTTTTCCTTTGAAGTCCTTCCCCTTGCCTTTGGGCTTGTCCTCAACCCGGTCAACGTCCATCGGAGAAGGACCATGAGGATCTCCTGGGTAGGCGGTTTTGTCGAGACCTATTGCTTTCATGACATACTCAGTACTCCACGTGGCAGAGGTTCTCTCGAACTGCAAAAGGGTTTGGCGCAGCTTCTGATAGGTTGTGCTGTCATCTATTTGAAGCTGAAGGTAACGCTTCACATCGGTAGGAAGTCCAGCAAGAAGAGTGCCGATTTTGAGATCATCTGGATAAGATTGGCCACTGCCCCGCTCATATTCAGAGACCAATTTTTCAAACGTAAGGGCATACTCCAAAACTGAACCCCCCTCTCGAAGAGGGGGAAACTTTGTAAGCGCCTGGGCAAGAGCTAAGGTTCTGGGCCTTGTTGACGGCTGTAGCTCTTCATGAAGTTGCCGCCACACCCTGAACCCATCTCCATTGGTCACAGACTTGAGGATCTTCAAAGCACGACCCTTGAGGTACGAAGCAAGAACCGAGTACAGTCTCAAAGAGCGTGCTCGCAAAGCCGGATCATACTGCTCAAACGAAAGCCACATGGTAGCAGTCTCAGCTTTTAAGAAATCCGACCTGTAGTCATCATCCTGAACAGCCATGAAATTCTTGAAGCTGAAGGCCCAATCCGGCCATAAGGAAACCTCTTCGTCCATGCTTTTAGCATTAAACGCCTCCGGGTTCTTGACCCACTTGCTTTCCTTCCATTGGCCTCCCGAACTCCCAGAAGACCCTGCCGTTGAAGCCAACTGCGCGACCGCCTCGGCAAGCCGCCCAAGAACAAGTTCAGGAGTCAGCGCAGTCGCTGACCCAGCCGCTGCTGCGGCCGAAGCTCCACCAGGGCTCGCTCCACCCTCATCTCCTGGCGGTTGAGGTGGCTGACCTGCATCACCACCTCCTGCTGTAGCCATCCCTTTCCAAAGGGCTCAAGGCTCAACGCTTTCCAACGAGGAGGTAACTCTTTAAGAAGTTCTGGCCGCCACAAAGCGCGCACGAACACTCGGGCTCACGACACACGAGGAAGTCCCTTGGACTATGCCGGCACAAGCCGGGAGCTCAGGATCAGTGAGGGCACTTAGGCACACACCAACCCACTACCTACGAGCTTGCACCTTCGCAAGCTCCGCTACCACAACAGAGCAACGCAACTTTTCACACACACTTTGAGCCTTGTGTCCACAGTCGTACTGCAACTTCTGCACTGCTAAGGAAAACGTGGTTTAGGGTGAGTTAAAGTTTTGTCAGTCTCTCTTCCCTGAGCCCCAAGGCTCTTCATGGATCATGAGCTCTAAAGGAGGACGGTCCGGAGTGTCGACCGGGCGCCATACCCCCGACGGCGGAATAGTGCGCTCGATGCCTGTCGGCACCCCTTCGCTCAAGACTGCCGGAAGCTGGACGTCGACATCTTGGATCATTTGGAGCAAGCCCTCGAATAGCTGCAACGCCAGCGGCTGCCCCTCCGCGACTTCCAAACCGCACGAAACGCCCTCACTACTCAGAAGAGACTGCAAATCTTTGCGCAGATCTGCAATCTCGCCATCACTCATTATCGTTGTCACGTGAACCTCAAAGCATCAATGAAACTTCATAGTAAAAGTTGTGATCT